AGTTAGATATAGAGTATGTGGTAGTTGCCAGTGAGGTAGTCTATTGGCTGGGTATTTGAGCTAGGAATCTTACTTGCTAGCTTTGATGAGCCTACAGTAGAGAAGAAGACATTAAGCTGTGTCTATAGGCTGTATGTGAGGTTCATTTGGTTTAGTTAAGTTTATCTCTCTGTTTCCAGACGGTTTCCTAGAGTTCAAAATTTTGGAGAGGGTTTGCCAGGTACTCTTCATATCACCTTTTATGTCAATAAATCTATTTTCATAATACATTTGCTTTGATTGTAGGTAGTAGGTTGGTAAACAGCAACCACCCAGGGAGGTACTACCATCCTGCCAAGTGAGTGTAAAACAAAAGCCTGTAATTGTTTTACATGATGGTAGGATTGCTGGCGTCTTTTGTCTGTCTCATAAATATGCAAGATTACAGGTACGTCTTGCTACTTCTTCTTACACTTAGGTCACACTACACATACGTGTACAAGCATATATATATATATACACACCCCTCTGGGTTTTCTTCTATTTTCTTTTTAATTCTTGTTCTTGTTTATTTCCTCTTATCTCCATGGGAAAGTGGAACAGAATTCTTCCTTTGTAAGCCATGTGTGTCATAAGAGGCGACTAAAATGACGGGAGCAAGGGGCTAGTAACCCCTTCTCCTGTATATATTACTAAATTTAAAAGGAGAAACTTTAGTTTTTTCTTTTGGGCCACCCCGCCTCGGTGGGATACGGCTGGTACGTTGAAAGAAGAAGAAAGATTTGCTTTGATTTTTGTATTAGTTTTGTGAATATTGATATGTATCATTTAGCCAGTTCTTTAGTAATCAGGCCTAATCTGAACTGTTTTTAAAGGTGGTGCTTTTTATCAATAGATCTGAGGATACTATTTGTTAGCCATGAGCTGTTTAGTCTCTTTTCTGTGATCTGCTTCGTTTTGATTGGACAATGTATGTTATAGAGGTTTAGGGTTTTATGTAAAAAGTTTTGACAACTTTGTCAATATTATGGCTGTCAGCTAGCTCTCTCTGCCAATCAATGTCACCTAGTACTAATATTACAAAATAGAGAGAGTGAACTGTCTTTACAAAGTTAAAGAAAGGAAGAACAAATAGTTTTTAAAACAAAGTGCTTACAGCCTTCAGACACAATAATATGTTTGTTGACATAAAAATAAATACAGTATGTTAAATTCTTTTTTTTTTTTTAACAAGTCGGCCGTCTCCCACCAAGGCAGGGTGACCCAAAAAGAAAGAAAATCCCCAAAAAGAAAATACTTTCATCATCATTCAACACTTTCACCTCACTCACACATAATCACTGTTTTTGCAGAGGTGCTTAGAACACAACAGTTTAGAAGCATATACGTATAAAGATACACAACATATCCCTCCAAACTGCTAATATCCCAAACCCCTCCTTTAAAGTGCAGGCATTGTACTTCCCATTTCCAGGACTCAAGTCCAGCTATACAAAAATAACCGGTTTCCCTGAATCCCTTCAGTAAATATTACCCTGCTCACACTCCAACAGATCGTCAGGTCCCAAATATCATTCGTCTCCATTCACTCCTATCAAACACTCTCATGCATGCTTGCTGGAAGTCCAAGCCCCTCGCCCACAAAACCTCCCTTACCCCTTCCTTCCAACCTTTTCGAGGATGACCCCTACCCTGCCTTCCTTCCCCTACAGATTTATATGCTCTCTTTGTCATTCTACTTTGATCCATTCTCTCTAAATGACCAAACCACCTCAACAACCCCTCTTCAGCCCTCTGACTAATACTTTTATTAACTCCACACCTTCTCCTAATTTCCACACTCCGAATTTTCTGCATAATATTTACACCACATATTGCCCTAAGATAGGACATCTCCACTGCCTCCAACCGCCTCCTCGCTGCTGCATTCACAACCCAAGCTTCACACCCATATAAGAGTGTTGGTACTACTATACTTTCATACATTCCCTTCTTTGCCTCCATAGATAACGTTTTTTGTCTCCACATATACCTCAACGCACCACTCACCTTTTTTCCCTAATCAATTCTATGATTAACCTCATCCTTCATAAATTCATCCGCTGACACATCAACTCCTAAGTACATATCTGAAAACATTCACTTCTTCCATACTCCTCCTCCCCAATTTGATATCCAATTTTTCTTTATCTAAATCATTTGATACCCTCATCACCTTACTCTTTTCTATATTCACTTTCAACTTTCTACCTTTACACACACTCCTAAACTCATCCACTAACCTTTGCAATTTTTCTTTAGAATCTCCCATAAGCACAGTATCATCAGCAAAAAGCAACTGTGTCAATTCCCATTTTGTATTTAATTCCCCATAATTTAATGAAAATAAGTTAAATTCATATACACATATTAAATATTTCGTCTTTAATAAAAAATTTAGGAAGTCATTAGGTATTTTCCTGTTTATAGTTATTAATCTTATAGGTAGTAGGTTGGTAGATAGCAACCGCCCAGGGAGGTACTACCGTCCTGCCAAGCGAATGTAAAACGGAAGTCTGTAATTGCTTCACATGATGGTAGGATTGCTGGTGTCTTTTTATCTGTCTCATAAACATGCAAGATTTCAAGAACATCTTGCTACTTCTACTTACACTTAAGTCACACTACACTTGCATGTACAGTGGTACCCCGAGTTTCGGCCATAATTCGTTCCAGAAGGCTGTTCGAGTGCTGTTACCGAACGAATTTGTTCCCATAAGGAATAATGTAAATTAGATTAGTCCGCTTGAGACCCTCAAAAATACACTTAAAAAAGCACTTACAATAATACACTTACATAACTGTTTGAGTTGGGAGCTGTATGAAACTCGGGGTACCACTGTACAAGTATATACACACCCCTATGGTTTTTTTTATATTTTCTTACTAGTTCTTGTTTATTTCCTCTTATTTCCATGAGAAAGTGTAACAGAATTCTTCTCCGTAAGCCATGCATGTCATTAGAGGCAACTAACATGCTGGGAACAAGGGGCTAGTAACCCTGTCTCCTGTATACATTACTAAAGTTAAAAAGAGAAACTTCCATTTTTCTTTTTAGGTCACCTGCCTCGGTGGAATATGGCTGGTTTGATGGGAAAAAAGTTATTAATCTTTAATATAAAATGTAAAAAAATTTTCTGCTATAGTCTCTAGTGGCTATAAAAAATACTAAACTTATCCTTATACAGTAAAACCTCAACTGACCAAAATTCATATTTAATGGACAAAATCTGTGGCTAGACAACTTTTGGAAACAACAAAGTTTGTTAAATCTGGAATGCTCTGTTATTGTTATGGTCCTCTGGGGAAATGAATTTTGGATTTGAGAGATTAAATCTGCTATTTCCACAATTCCATGTTATTATTAAGATCTGCTCAGCTAATCAATTTCAGTAAACAAAGTCTGTTAAACCCAAAATTGTCTGTTAGTGTTACAATCTCATCATTCAAATTTAAAGGACAAACAACATTAATGGACATTCCATATTCCCTGCTAGTCTGTTAAATCAAGATTTCACAGGTATAAACCTTGGTAATTAACCCTTTGACTGTTTCGGTCGTATATATACGCGTAAATTCTAGCAGCTTCAAATCAAGCAGGAGAAAGCTGGTAGGCCCACATGTGAGAGAATGGGTCTGTATGGTCAGTGTGCACCACATAAAAAATCATCCTGCAGCATGCAGTGCGTAATGGGAAAAAAAAACTCTGACCATTTTTTTGGATTAAAATGCCAACTTTGAGGTGTATTTTCATATAGTATTTATTGTTGTATTCTCGTTTTCATGGTCTCAGGTAATAAAATGGAAAACATATTACAGAAATAGAGATGATTTTGACTAGTTTCACAATGAAAACGACTTTGAAATTGAGCTCAAAGTCACAAAATGTTTGATTTTTACCAATGTTCAGGAGTACACAAATCACACCACACGTCCAATACACGTCAACTGAGGAGTCTAATATTCTTTCACTAGTGCACTGATATTATTTATACCATTTTTACAATAATGCAGTAGTCTGCATAGCAATAAATTTTGTATTTTTTGAATGAATAAAAAATAAAAATAGAAAGCAATAGTAATATGAGAGGGGCCTAGAGACATGACTAATGAACAGAGGATATGTTATTTTAGTGCCAAGAATGTCTACATTGTTTGTTCTAGACCCTATTTTGAAATTGGCATCTTTTTTAATTTGGTTGAAATTGGCCAAATTGCCAATTTCTGACCACTTTATTAGGTAGTTCAAATTGGTAAATGGGCAGTTTGTTGTACTCAACTCATAGAAAAAATGGAAGTCTAAAGAAATAGCTATGAGTTTGGTCAATTGGAACAAGAGAATTGACCAAAAACAGGGATCAAAGTGGGTGAAATCGCCGATGCATATATGTCGCCGAGACCGCTAACTTCACGGGAGTGTAATTCCGTGAGTTTTCGACCAAATTTTGTACTTTTGGTGTCATTACCATCGGGAAAAGATTCTCTGTCATTTCATAAGAAAAAATAATTTTTTTCCCCCAAAATTTTGCAACATAGAATGATAGTTTCAGAAAGGGGCTTGCGACAGTCAAAGGGTTAATACTAACAAGTAGTTCATAAAGACACATGAACAAACACTAGGGCTCAGTTATTAGAGAATGTTTTAATCATGGTGATCAAGGCCCCCAGGACTGAAACGTTTCTAATATATATGTCCAAGTGTATACTCATGTGTCGTTTTAAGGTTTCACTTTGAGCACAAGAGAATGTGGTTTCTCTGAAAACTGAAAGAATCAGTTCAAAATAATTTACCATGTGCTCAAGGGTAAAATCAGAAACATTTAATTTTTAGCAGTGATTTGAACCTAGGACTACTGTACTTGAAGCTAAGGCTAGTAACTGAAGTTAAAACCTCTATAAGAGCCAAAACTGCTACATTTAAAGTAAACTGAATATTTAGATCAATGCACTTGTACTGTCCATTGTACTGTACAGTGCAATTTACTCATAACTACTGAACTTACTATAAATCAATTTCCAATCACCAAATCGAACTGCAGCACCATTCAAAATTGGGTCAATGTTCACACAGAATTCCGTGCGGGGTGATGGCAGATTCTGAGTTAGTGCCTTCCATAAATCCATACCATCAATAGGTTCTGGGAATGTGATGTTACCTCCTGAAATATTTGAAGCTTTAAACATTTCAAATACAGTTCTGTATTGATATATTGTGCAAGCTATTTATAAACATTCAAATTACTATATTTTAATAAAATACTTGGTAAAACATGTTTCATGGCTTATAATAACTGCTTCCACTAACAGCCATTATCTGGAGCAAATATTTTTTTAGTTCACATGTGATTCTTCAAGGTTTTCCCTGGAGTATAAATACCATAAAAATCACTCTCTCTCATCCCCTTCTCTCCCGTAACACACCCTTCATCTTATCCATTCTCTCCTTCTCTTCTAGGTGAATATGGCTCTCAGCAGAGGTGACCCACTGCCAGTAACAGCTGCTAAAGAAGCCATGAGACAGCAAAACTCAGAAGAAATGAAGAAAAATACTTTATGGTGTGATTGTTGGCTGGAGTTGACACTTATGACTCAGACCAATTAGATTCTTAATAACAGTGGTTTTCTATTTGGTACACTTTGGCCAATAAATGTAGATATATTTATACTGTGGAACCTCGGTTTTTGTGATTAATCCATTTGAAAAAGTCTGACAAAAACCGAATCGTATGAAAACTGAAGCAATATTTCCCATATGAAATAGTGTAAATCAAATTAATCCGTTCCAGACACCCAAAAATATTAACAAAAAATACATTTTATAGAGGATAACTATAGTTTTATATACAGAAAACAATGAGAAATAAATATAAATAACTAATGAAATGGATAAATGAACATTTAACATCACTTTAACCATTATTGAAGACTCTTGTTGGTGTATGGAAGACGGCGAGGAGGGGAGAAGGAGAGGTTATTGTTTGGAAGGGTAATCCCTGTCCATAAGGAATTCAGGTATCAAGGCCCTATCCAGGGTTACTTCCCTTTTTTATCTTTTACTGGCACTAGGACCAGCTTGAGAGCCCATCGCACAAAAAATCTGCCCAGAGAGGTCTGTTTCTGGTGTCTGTTTAAGATTTGCCTAAAATGGGACAAGGCATTGTCATTGAACATGTTGCAAACACAGCATGCAACAGCTTTGTTAGGGTGATATTTCCCCACAAAACTTTGCAACTCATTTCTCTTTGCACACATGTCTTTAATCACTGAAGGAGGCACATTCTCCCCTCTCTATTCCTCCTCCTCTGAAGCAATTTCCTCAGCTGCAGTCTGTTGCTGTTCCAGTTGAAGGTCTTGCAGCTCTTCAGTGGTTAGCTCTTCCATGTGGTAGTCCAACTCTTCCACATCCTGGCCTCTCACAACCAACCTCATGGACTTCCCCAAAGACACAATAGATTCCACAACAGGCATAGGGTCGGCAGGGTCAGCCTCAAACCCTTCAAAATCCTTCTCGAGGGCACATTCTGGCTACAATTTTCTCCAGCAGAGTTCATTGTCCTGGAAATCACTCCCTGCCAAGCCTTATCTATACGGCTTATGCAATTGAGGATATTGAAGTGATTCCTCCAGAACTCTCTTAGGATCAATTCAGTGTCCGAAGTCACTTCAGAGCACCTTTGAAACAGTGCTTTATTGTAGTTTTTTTTCATCATCGTGATGAAACTAAACTCCTCCAACAATTGGTCTTCCAAGTCTGGAGGATGAGCAGGAGCACTGTCCATTACCATGAGGCACTTGAGTGGCAACTGATTTTCCAGGAGGTATTTCTTCACACTGGCTAAACACTTCATTGACCCACTCAATGAAAATTTGCCTCGTGACCCATGCCTTATTGTTAGCTTTCGGCATCACACACAATTGACTCTTGATGACATTGTTTTTCTTGAACACTCGGGGATTTTCAGAGTGATACACCAGTAAAGGCTTCACTTTGAAATTCCCACTAGCGTTACCACAACAAAAGTTAGCCTATCCTTCATAGGCTTGTGTCCTGGCAGTGCCTTTTCCTCCTGCGTGATGTAGGTCCTCTTTGGAATTTTCTTCCAAACGAGGCCTGTTTCATCACAATTGAAGACTTGTTGGGGAGGAATCCTTTAGCCTCTACGTGCTCCTTGAATTCATCAACGAGTTCTTTGGTTCCACGTTTGTCTGATCTTGCAGCCTCACCATGCTTTACCCCACTGTGTATGCCAGTTCACTTCTTAAATTTGTCGAACCAGCCTCTGCTGGCCTTAAATTCACTAACAGCAGCACTCATCTCAGGCATTTTCTTTGCGAGAGCCACATGCAGCCTTTCTGCAAATTATCGCATCCAAAACACTATCTCCCACTAACTGTTTTTCATTGATCCACACCAACAACAACTTCTCAACATCTTTGATTGTTTGCGATCTCTGTTTTGTTAGCACATTTACCCCTTTTGCAACATCAGCTTCCTTGATATCTTTTTTCTTCGCCAGGATGGAACTGATCATTGATGCGGACTTCCTGTACATCCTGGCAAGATTGGCCACACGTACGCCACTTTTGTATTTTGCTATGAGTTCTTTCTTGAATTCTATTGTGTTTCTCACCTTCTTTATCAAAGAGCTGGCACTTGGAACTTTCTTTGGCCCCATGGTGACTCATTTAGCAGTCACATTCAATAAACAAGCACAAAAAACAATGGATTATTATGTCTCGGATGAACACGCAGGGTGATGCTCACTCAACAAAAACCAAAGGCAGAGTGAGTCAAGAATGCATAGGAAGCTTTGTGTGGGTGCTCAATTCCGGGAAATGAGTGGCCAAGTCACGCAGGAAGGCGGATGAGTTTGGTACGGACCATTTTCGACTGTACAAAAACCAGGTAGATGTACGAAAACTGGGACAAAATTTTGATGAAAAAAGTCGTCAAAAACTGAATCGTATGAAAACTAGGGCATATGAAAACTGAGGTATGACTGCATTATGTTTGTGACCTATCATCAGATACGCTCATAATTATTTTATATTTATGTTTCTAATGTCTTTTTGGATAGAATATGCAAAGTATGGTATGAAAACACTTAGAGTGACATATTATACTGTATTAACAGTATGTAGGTGTATAGACACCCTGTCTAATGATAATGACTGCCACCTGGCATGAGATCATTGAGTTGTTTAACAGAGGAATTCAGAGTTTTTGGGGCTATTATTCAAAATTACTTTTTGCAAATATCTGTTAAGCCTAGGGCAACTGTATAATATTATAGTTATTTTTTTTATTTTTAAAATTATAATCTTTATACAAGGATTCATATATGTAACAATAAAGGCACAATACCTGCTCTCCTTTTCGTTAGTGTGACTTTGTAAATGGTCCAAGTCGGACTGAAATGTTGTCGTAATCTCCTCTCTTCTATGTGCGGGTTATTTGTGTATTCATATATGTAACTAATAATTCTTACAACCTACATGTATGTTTAATATTGAACAGTACTGAATAAACAGAAGATTCAAAGAGTGGTCCTGACAGTAGAGGGCCTGATGCTGTACCACAGAGCTGTAAAGCTTACAAGATTTTACAAACAGCACTCCTGTGACTTGTTTGTATCAGCAGCACTAACTGTGACCCTACTGTATCTTCCCACAGCCCCAGAAACTGTCATGATACATCTATTCATACCCCTGAAAAACCCTAATGAATGACTGATGTTATTCATTACAATTTATCTTGAGTTTATAGAACAGTACTGTATAAAATTTATATATATAGGATTAAACTTGGCTTAAATTCTGTGTACTGTACTCTAAGGCTTACTAAATATATATAGTTATTTACTGAACATACTGGACAGCTTGAGATGGTAAATAATGCACATAGTGATTTGAAAAATTCTGTAAATTATTTGAATAAATTGATTTTGATAAAACAGAAAATCTTCTCAGCATCAATAACAAATACAGTATACTGTAATGCTGTATTTCACTACTAATGAATTTGCTTTACTTATGAGTAAATAATATTAGCAGTATATGACTACAAAAGAAAATTTATTATAAAATGTCATGCTGTAAGGGCACTCACAGTTGCCTTTCACATCATTCACAGGTCTTGAATTTAGGAACTTGCTAAAGATTTCCTTCTCATTCACTAATACATAAAAATATTTAAAACAAAAATTTTCTTGAGAGCTTATTTGATGTATTCCAAGTTCATTCAGATCAATCATTTTGTAGAATTTCGAGCAAAGACAATGATGTCATATACTGAATGATGTTATAAAAGGATTGGGGAAGGGTCAAAAGACCTGACACAGACTGTAAACTCTATGAACAGAGGCTTCAGACCTCATTCAAAGAGAAGTACCTCAGAGTATGTATAGTGCCTACCATATTACCAGAGGCTCTCATCAACTGAATAACCTCTGCAACCAATGTTTGCCTGGTAAATCTGAGAATGACCTTCAGAAATCTTGACAAAGAGTCATCCCGGGTGTTTCATACAACATATGATGGTCCCCACCTTGGAGTATGCAGCACCAATATGGAAGCCACACCCAAGGAAGCATGTTAAGTAACTGGAGAAAGTGCAGAAATGTGCAATGAGACTATTTCCAGAGCTAATGGGTATGATCTAAGAAGAGAGGTTCAAGGAACGGAATCAAATGACCCTGGAGGACAGCAGGTCCAGGGGAGACATAAAAACATAAAACACTTAGAGGAGCTGATAGGGCAGACAGGGACAGATTGTTTGAGAGGCAGCAAACAGGTACTCAGGGCATGACCAGAAGTTAAAGACACATATGAGTCACAGGGGTGTCAGGAAGTATTTCTTTGGTCTCAGGGTGATCGAGAAGTGAAATGACCTTGACAAAGAAGTGATGGAGGCAGACTACATACATAGTTTTATGAAAAGGTATGGTAGGGCCCATGAGACTAGAAAAGAATGAATCTGACAAATGGCAGGTTGAGAGGCAGGGACAGGAGCCAAGACTCAACCCCTGTAATCACAAATAAGCGAGTACTGTACCTGCTGCAGAAATCAATGTGGGTAACCAGTCTGTAATATGCACCATCTGGTCAGCAACTCTGCCAGGGTTGAGTACATAGGGTGACCACAACAGCCCAGCTCCTCGCACCCCACCTTCCCATACAGCGGCTTTCACCTTGGTTTTAGAAGGGAGACAAAAATCGTACTGTATATTAGTAAATTTCCACTCAAAGTAGTAAGCTACTTATGTAAATGTGCTTCCAGAGAATTAATTATACATTGCTTTACAACTTAGGCAATGGTAACTAAGAAACAGGTGTACAGTTACAATGTCCAGTTTTAACTTACACATCCAGACTGTAAAAAAAAAACCATGCTATACACAAAATATACAATAAGTGATATAATAATAATACAGTGGACCCCCGCAGAGCGACTTTAATCCGTGCAAGAGGGCTCATTGTTATGCGAAATGATCGGTATGCGAATGAATTTTCCCCATAAGAAATAATGGAAATCAAATTAATCCGTGCAAGACACCCAAAAGTATGAAAAAAAAATTTTACCACATGAAATATACATTTTCCTACACACAAAGAGAAGGATACATGCACAATAGTAGAGTAGTACATGCACAATATATATTGTGCATGTACTACTCTACTAAATGAAGAATAAATGACACTTACCTTTATTGAAGATGCAGCAATGACTGATGAGACACTGTGTCCTGGGAGTGCCTTTTCCTCCTGAGTACTGTAGGTCCTGTTTGGCATTTTCTTCCAGAACAGGCCTTATCACACTGTGTATGCCACTACGATTCTTAAATCTCTCAAACCAACCTTTGCTGGCTTTAAATTCACCAATATGAGCACTAGTTCCAGGCATTTTTCCCTGTTCACCTGGGTGTTAGTCGACTGGTGTGGGTTGCATCCTGGGAGACAAGATTAAGGACCCCAATGGAAATAAGTTAGACAGTCTTCGATGACACTGACTTTTTTGGGTTATCCTGGGTGGAAAATCCTCTGGGGTTAATTGTTTCTTGGTATTCTCAATAAGCCACACCAACAACGGTGCTACAGCAGCAGCAGCAGCAGCTGACAGTGCTACAGCAGCAGCAGCAGCTGACAGTGCTACAGCAGCAGCAGACGATGCTACAGCAGCAGCAGACGGTACTACAGCAGCAGCTGACGGTGGTACAGCAGCAGCAGCAGCTGACAGTGCTACAGCAGCAGCAGATGATGCTACAGCAGCAGCAGATGGTACTACAGCAGCAGCTGATGGTGGTACAGCAGCAGCAGCAGCTGACAGTGCTACAGCAGCAGCAGACGATGCTACAGCAGCAGCAGACGGTACTACAGCAGCAGCAGACGGTACTACAGCAGCAGCAGCAGCAGCTGACGGTGGTACAGCAGCAGCAGCAGCTGACAGTGCTACAGCAGCAGCAGACGATGCTACAGCAGCAGCAGACGGAACTACAGCAGCAGCAGCAGCAGCTGACGGTGGTACAACAGCAGCAGCAGCTGACGGTGCTACAGCAGCAGCAGCAGCTGACAGTGCAGCAGCAGCAGCTGATGGTGGTACAGCAGCAGCAGCAGCTGTACCACCAATAGTAGCGATGGTTGATTGGGGTTTATTATACAACCTGGCCAGCTCGGAGACACGCACTCCACTTTCATACTTATCAATGATCTTTTTCTTCGTCTCTATAGTAATTCTCACCCTTATTGCTGTAGGATTGGCACTAGAAGCTTTCTTGGGGCCCATGGTCACTTATTTTGCAGATAAAATCACCAAAAACACTGTAATAATATGAAATGTTCCGATTGTATGCTTGGATGTTACCGCGGAGGCTGGCTGGTAAACAATGCCACCGGCGGCACATGTGAGGCTGGCTAAGGGCGCACATTGGACGCGTCTCGGACGAAGAGCGGTGAGCGGGTTTTTGAGGGGCATGCGAGGCAAAATTTTTGCAATAAAAGCGAGTGGTATGCGGATTGTACGTTATGTGATGGTGACGGTATGCGGGGGTCCACTGTAATAATAATAATATAATAATAATAATAATAATAATGATAATAGTAATAATCATTAATTATTATTGCTATTATTCATTTCTGAACATTGCAAAGCTCTGTATTAGTTCAGTCCTGTCAAAAATGCTGTACATAATGTAAGTTTATCAAACATTTTAGTAATGTACAGTAGGGCCCCACTTTATGGCATTTCGCTTTACGGTGTTCCACTAATATGGACATTTCAAATTATGACCAAAACTCACTATACGGCTCCCCCACCTTACTTTCTAATATGGTCACTGTGCCCCACCCGGTTTGTTTACAATCTCCGTGAGCTCCGTGAGCAACGCGTCTCTCCATTATGTCTGGAAACTCCAAATTTTCAAGTGTTTTTAAAAGTTACTTCATATTTTATATATACAGTGGACCCTCGACCAACGATGGCATCGTATAACGTTAAATCTGACTAGCGATACATTTTAACGCAAAATTTTTGCCTCGACTAGCGCTAAAAAACTCGACCAATGCCATTCATTCCATTCAAGACACGTCCACGTGTGGCCTACTTAGTGTTTACAAGCCAGCCACCGCGGTCACATCCAAACATACAATCAGAACATTTCATATTATCACAGCATTTTTAGTGATTGCACCTGCAAAATAAGTCACAATGGGCCCCAAGAAAGCTTCTAGTGCCATCCCTGTGATAAAAAGGGTGAGAATTAGTATGGAAATTAAGAAAGATTTTGAAGGGTTTGGGGCTAACCCTGAGATGCCTATGCCAGTTGTGGAATCCATTGTGCCTACTTCAAAGATTAAGGAAATGTGTGCAAAGTGGGTTGAACTGCAAACCTTTATGGATGAAAATCGCCTTAACACAGCTATTGCAAGCCGTGCTGGTGACTATTACACTGACAATGTTGTGGCCCATTTTAGACAAATCGTAAAGGAACGGGAGGTACAGAGCTCTATGGACAGATATGTTGTGCGACAGAGGTCCAGTGACTCTCAAGCTGGTGCTAGTGGCATTAAAAGAAGAAGGGAAGTAACACCGGAAAAGGACTTGACACCTCAAGTCCTAATGGAAGGGGATTCCCCTTCTAAACACTAACACCATCAACACCCTCCCATCCCATCAATCATCACCAGATCTTCAATAAAGGTAAGTGTCATGTAATTGTACATGTCTTCTTCAGTTTGTGTGTATTAAAATTAATATTTCATGTGGTAAAAATTTTTTTTTTCAATACTTTGGGGTGTCAGGAATGGATTAATTTGATTTCCATTATTTCTTATGGGGAAAATTAACTCGACTAACGATAATTTCGACTAATGATGAGCTCTCAGGAACGGATTAATATTGTTGGTCGAGGGTCCACTGTATTCTGAAAATTATACTTATGTATACCTGTACCTAAATATACTTACACACTGTGCTGGCAGGCAGGTACACATCAAAATCAGTAAGTGTCTTTTTAACATTAAAATTTTTTTTCTTAATCCACTATGATATTTTTTCAAAATTATTAAATAAAACGATATTAAAAATATAAACATTTAATACACCCAAGTGATAAATTAACAAAAATGGAGAGTTAGGAAAACTTGTTAAGTGGGAAGGGAATAAATTTTTTTGGGTCCACGTTAGAGTGTGTTTTTGGGGGAAAACTTAGAAAATTAAAGGTTCCCTCCCATTAATTCCCTTTCACGCTTTGAACTCGGAATGCAGGTTTGCCCAACAATTTAAAAAGTCATTAAATAGTTTAAAAATTTTTGGGGGGTGGCCCAAGTTTTTGGGTAGGCAAAAAGAAAAGGGGGGAAAAAACAATTTCCCCTTTAATCTAAAATTCCTTTAAACATAAAAAAAAAATTTTAATCAAAAAAAAACCAATCTAATAAAGTAATTATGTAATGTTGTTTTGTTTGTTGTTTTTTTTTAACCATGGAAAAATTCATATTTGGGGGAAAGAATGGTAAATGGGGGTCTTTCGGGGGGGGGGCCCTATTTTTACTAAAATTGGGAGGATTTTTATTTGCGTCCTTTTTCTTGAAATTTTAAACTTATGTCCCTGTTAATTACATTTTTGCTGGCGGGCGTAACCTTTTTAATGTGTGCTTAGTTGGGAACCTTTTTTTTTTTAAATCATAAAACACTTCCCCCCTTTCTTTTCCCCCCTTTATTGAAAATTTTTCTTAATTCTATGTATTTTTCATTTTAAAAGGATGGCATATAAAATATTTTATGTTTTCATGTGTTTTTTGTGTTTGGGTTAATTTGGAAGGAAAACATTTTTAGGTTAAGAAAATTTTTTTACCCTTAAAATAATTTTCACAAACTTCGTTTTTTTCCATTCACGGGTTTTCTTGATCCCCTCCCCCCAAAAATGGGAAAATGTATTTTTCAATTGTTTAAAAGAGTGCCCTTTCTTCAAAATTTTACAGGAAATAATTTTTTCTTTATTTATTCTATTCCAAGTAGACAATTGAAAATGTAATTGTAAAAAAAAAAGATGTGTCTTGTTTGTTTACAAAAATTACCCTTCTTATGTATCACCCCCTATTTAAAAGTTTTTTCTTTTTCATCGCCCAAATTAAACTCAAAATTTTGGAAGTGGAAAATGTTGTCTTTTATCATTGGGGGAATTTTAAAATTTAAAAGTCCGGGTGGGGTGGCCTTATGGACTGGCTGGCTAATACTACACCTTGATTTTTTACAAAAAAACTTCTTCTCTCCCTACTTTAAAGTAAAAATTTTTTAACTAATTTTTTTTAATTAAAAAGATGGATATTAATTTTTTTTTGTTTTTTTATCCCTTTCATGTAAAAAAAATTGTTAGTAATAAATTTTTATTATATTTTACATATATGGGGAAAAAAAATTGTTCCACTTTACAGCTTTCCCCTTTTATCAGAGTGGAACAACTTCTTAAAAGGGGGCCCTTATTTTAAAAAAATTTTTTTCTTCTAAAAAATGTTACTTGAAATAATGTTGTTTTTATTAATACTACAATTGGGAAAACATTTAAAATGAGCACAACGTTTCCCGGTTAAAATGACGGATGAATGGTTTTTTTGAAAAAAAATTGAAAAATTAAATTTACAAATTAATTTTAGAAGAAAATTTTAAACGTGGCTTTTATATTATAAAATTTGGGGT